AGAAATCACCCCCCAGGGGGGATGGTCACGCCGCAATCCCTTCTCCTCCATTCTCCTCTCGGGATCATGGGCACGCACGCACATGCGCCCGGCGTGAGTTTTTTTTAAGCCACCGGGTCCGGGACGCGAACCGCGGTCGACTACGTGGGAGTCCAGCGACATAGCCATTACGCTAACTGCTGGTTCCCAAGTTTCAATATTTATATCATTCTAATTGCACAATATACATTTTTACATCAGACTGTCTATATACTAAGCTGTGTTCTGCTTTTTCTATGTAGCATGATTGGTGTACATATATCTGTATATTAACAGAAGACCCCTCCCCCATTCTTATCTCTTCAAGTAGCCATCAAACAGGACACTGTAGAGACATCTCTGGGGCTTGGTCTCCACTATTCCCCAATATTGGGTTGAAATCTGTATCTATAACTTCACTACAAAATGAACATACATATGCACATGGATTCACACACACACACATTTTTTTGTTGTTGTTTTTTGAGAGAGATTTTTGCTACAGGGTGCATGGGCTTGCCAGAGAGACAGGGAGATAGAAAGTGAGAAATCACCCCCAGTGGGCATGACCACGCTGCTATTCTTTCTCCTCCAGTCTCCTCTCAGGATTTTGGGCATGCACACACTCACACATCTGGCAAGAGTTTTAAGCCAGTGGGTCTCAAATGGTGGTGGACTACGTGGGAGTCCAGTGCGTGACAATTACACCATCTACTGATCCCCACACATAGATTTTTTTTTTTTATACAAAGACTTTTTTTTAATTAATTAATTTTTGGGGGGGAGGTTTTTGCTATAGGGCATGTGCGCTCGCCAGAAAGACAGAGAGAGACAGAGAGACAGAAAGCGAGAAATCACCTCCCAGGGGGATGGCCACACCGCAATCCTTTCTCGTCCATTCTCCTCTCGGGATCTTGAGCATGCACGCACACACGCCCAGTGTGAGTCTAAGCCGAAGGGTCTGGAACTTGAACCATGGTCGACTATGTGGGAGTCCAGCGACATAGCCATTACACTAACTGCTGGTCCCTACAAAGACTTTTTTTAGAGCAGTTTTAGGTTCATTGAGAGGAAGATATAGAGATATTTCATACATCCCCTGCTCCTGCACATGTGCAACCATCCCACTAGCAATATCCCCCTCTGTAGTGATACGTTTGTTACAATTAATAGACCTACCTTGACACATCATTATTATCCAGAATCCATAGTTTATGGTAAGGCTCACTCTTTGTGTTACATATACTATGGATTTGGACAAGTACATAATGTTATGTATTTACCATTATAGTATCTTGTAAAGTATTTTCACTGCCCTAAAAATCCTATGTGTATTTGGGCTAAATATTTATATTTATGTATCTTTCTATTTAACTTCATCCTAAATATTTATATTTACATATCTCTCTATTTAATTTCATCATACATATGTCTTCACATATATATCTTCAACAAGTTCATGAAAAGTATGTATTATGAAAAAACTATGCATGGATTTCAAAATTTCTTTTGCACCAAAATAAAGCCATACTTCAATTACATTTTTCCATAAACTTTTTAAAAAGTTTATTTTATTGAGGGGGGGGGGTGCACCCTTAACAAGGTCTCATGACACTTCAATCTCTTTCTCCCAGCCTTCTGGCTAGAAAGGGTCTTGGGTGCACATTCCTGGTGTGTTTCAGATCAACCTAGGTTCTGGACCTATGGTTGACCATGTGACATCCAGCGCTGTAGATGGTGTGCTACTGCCTTCACTACTGCAGCTAGGGCTCTGGGAACTTTTTAAAGTCCCCTTGTGTATACATATATATTTTTTCATCTTTGTATAGTCTATTCTTTCCTCTTTTTCTTTTGAATTACTTCTCTGGGTCAAATGCTTAGAGATTCAATTACCAGGTCAACAAATATATAAATCTTTTATAGTGTCTTATTACATATTGCCACTTGATTCTCCAGGAAACAGAAGTCAGACCCTGATATGTAGTGTACAAATGGAAGGAGTGGCCTTTCATCACAGTCAATACTGATTTTTATGATTTTTTGCTTACTTTGGCAAAGGCTGTCCTCTTCCATTACTCCTCCCTCTTTTTTGTCTTTTTCCCTCTCATTTTTTCCAACTACCCTCATATTTAAACTGTTTTCTGTCCTTGCAACTTGTCTAGTGAAGCATCTAGTACATTTTGTGTTCAGCAAATGTTAGGCCCCCACACCCTTCGGCCACCCAATAGAATGACCTAAAGAGGAGCTTTACTACTGGTTGGTAAAAACAAGTGCTTCTGAGGCTTGGTTTCCACATGCAGTGTTTCTAGGCAGGAAGGCCACCTCACTTCTGCTATTTGCTGAATCCGGGTATTTTTCAAACTCCCCTTCCAGGTACATTCAGGAGATGACTGGGGTAAAAGGTGAGTACTAACCACAGCCCACACTGCATACCAGGTTCAGTTTTTTTGGACATGAGGAGGCAGGGAGGGGTATGATTTCCAGAGGACTCTGGCTCAGAAAAGACTCTAAGCCAGATAACCTCTACGGATAACCATCCAACCCTCTACCTAAAACACAGACACGCTGCTTCTCTGAGATGAACAGGAATGGGCGTGGGGAAACTACAGGCTGAAAAAGTGCATCAGGGGAGATTTTTCTCGGGGAGCAGAAGGAATTCTTGGGACTTGGATAGAGCACTCTAATCAGGGATGTCTTGCCATGCGATGGCTTCCTAGGAGTCTCGATCTCCTAGGAACTCCCTCACTTCCAGTTAATCGGTTTCAGATTTAACCGATGAGCAGGCTCAGATACAGTAAAAAGCAAAAAATCACCACCACCACCC